AGTGTCACGTCGCTCAATCGAGAGGCCAGCGACAACAAATGCTGCTACCTTTGGCAAAAGATGCTGAGTTTGGGGCGTGACATTTCACTCACAACATTTTCTCTTCTATGTAAAGAACCTTTTGACGTTTATTATGCATCCCATATCATTTGCATTGAGAATTAAATCAAATTTTTTTGCAAAATACTCTCTAAAAGTCATTCTAAAACCCTTTTTGGTGTAGAGAGAAAATTTCGTTCTAAATTCATTGTTGCTTATGATTTGAAGTGTTTCTCCCACAAGTTGTATTCGTTATATCTCAGGAGACAAGTGTTAGCACCGTTGTGGAGGCAATATTATCTTAAGAAGAAAGTTTTTTCACTTTCCTTGGATTTCATTTTCCCTTTCGGTTTCTTCTTCTTATTTTCTTTCTTTAAAGTTTAATTATGCTCCTGCAAATTTAACTTGAATATTTCCTTATCTTGAACAGTCATTTACATATACCACCACACCAACAATTTTAAAACAATATCCATCCGTTTTTGAATGTTACATCATTTCTTCATCTTTGGAATAAGCTTTTGTATGTTATTCATTTCTTTATATATTTTTGTATATTGAACTTCTTTGTATAATAGAAATAAATCCTGTTCAGACTACTTTAAGTCAAATAACAAATGGTACGAACCATGTGGTTCCCCCTTTGGCCATATCTATATTAAACTCTCACATCCCCCATGGGGAAAATCAGAAAAGTTTAGCAACAAAAGATGTTATTTTATCTTACTAATTTGAATTTGACAAAGTTCCCAAAAGAAATGGCTTATGTTGTATAAAAATGAGAAAATAATTGTAAGTCAATTATTGCATTAGATGCATGGAAGTATGTGAATTTTCTTTGCAAAAATTACATTCTAAATAAATTGGACAATACACTTTATAGAGTGTATAGTTCAATGGACTCAACAAAGAATTTATGAGATTCATTGGAAAAGAAGTACAAGATAGAGGATACTGGAACAAAAAAGTTCATTGTTTGCCAGTTTTTGGACTACAAAATAATAGACTCCAAAATCGTGATAAGTCAAGTAGAAGAATTTCAAGTTTTACCATGTGACATACATGTTGAAAAGATGGAATTGAGTGAGTCTTTCTAAGTTGCACCCATCATTTTGAAACTCCCTTATATGCGGAGATATTTCAAGAACTATCTCAAGTACAAAAAAGAGATAAATTTGGAGGAATTGATAGTTCGATTGAAAGTACAACAAAGTTGACCAAAACACCTTTTCACTTAATCCAAAGGACCACGACACATTCAGAGTTAATCCATAGCCATATATGTGACTTGAAATTTGTTCAAATTAAAGGTGGTAAGAAATATTTTATAACTTTTATTGATAATTGTATAAAGTATTGTTATGTCTTTTTACTACGAAATAAAGATGAAACCTTAAATATCTTTAAATATTATAAGACGGAAGTTGAAAATCAACTTGGTAAACGAATAAAAAGTATTTGTAGTTATAGAGGTGGTGAATACGACATTTTGAAGAATATTGTTTCGAGTATGAAATCATTCATCAAACAACAACACATTATTCACCCCAATCAAATGGTGTTACTGAACGCAAAAATCAAACTCTTAAAGAGATGATTAACTCAATGTTGATAAGTTCATGTCTACCTCAGAACTTGTGGGGGGAAACTATTCTATCGATAAATAGCATTCTGAATAAGACACCCCTTAAGAAAATGGAAGAAACTCTGTATGAATTATGGAAAGGTCATCCTCCTTACCAATACTTGAAAGTGTGGGAGTGTTTGGCTAAGGTTGAAGTATCTAAGCCTAAACAAGTGAAAATTGGTCATAAGATGATTGAATGCATATTTATTGGGTACGCCAATAATAGTAGTGCATATTGTTTTCTTGTACATAAATCTGAAATTCAAAATGTACATGAAGGAACAATAATTGAATCAAGAAATGCATCATTTTTTGAAGATATTTTGCCATATAAGAACAATGAAAATGCAAGTTCAAATAAATGGACTTATGATACTACAAATGACACTTCACATGAGGAAGAACTAAGACGTAGTAAAATGGCTAGAATATCCACTTTGTTTGGCCTTGATTTTCTAACATAGATTGTAGAAAATGAACCAAAGACTTTCGTTGAGGTAATGTGTACACCGGAAGCACCGCATTGGAAAGAATTGTATACATTAAACATGCACCAAAGGCCTATGTGAGTGTGTCTATATGTCAATGACATGTTGATAATGACCAATAGTCACGAAATAATGATAAACACCAAGAAAATGTTAACAAAATATTTTAACATAAAAGACTTGGATGTGACTAATGTAATATTAGGGATTAAGACCTCTAGAATATCAGAAAAAAATTATATTTTCCCAATCTCATTATATTGTGAGTATACTTAAAATGTAATATGCTCGAAAAAAGTCATGCGAAAATCCCCTATTGACACAAGTTTACACTTAGTAAAAAATACGAGTGAATGTGTTTCACAACTAAATTATTTACATCTTATAGGCAGTGTATATTACAAACTACATTTGATTGTACATAGCATTTTGCCGTGAATAAATTTAGTAGATTCACAAGTTATCCAATCCATGATCATTGGAAGACTTTAACAAGGGTTTTTAGATATTTGAAGTATAGTTTAACCTATAAATTACACCTCACAAAATATCCCGCGGTATTAAAAGATATTGTGAATCTGTGATACGAATTGGATATCCGATATAAATGATTCTAAGTTTACTAGTGGTTATGTATTTACCATTTGTGGAGTTGCTATATCATGGAAATAGACAAAATAAACGTTTATAGTTCGATCAACGATGAAATCAAAGTTTATTGCTTTGGACAAAGTTGGAGAAGAAGTATAATGACTTCGTAACTTCTTGGAAGAGATTCCATGTTGGCCTAAGTCGATACCTACTATTTGTATACATTGTGATGGTTAATTAGCTATTGGAAGAGCTCAAAGCAGCATATATAATGATAGGTCTAGACATATAAGCCGTAGACACAATACCATTAAGCAACCAATTTCTAATGGTATCATCTCCATAAATTATATGAAATCAAAGGAGAACGTTGCAGATCCACATACTAAAGGTTTACTAAGAGATCAAGTACGTTGCCCATCGAAAAGAATAAGATTAAAGTCCGCTAAGTAAGGATCGTTGTAATGGTAACCGTACATTATTGATCGGAGATTGAAAATTTAGTCTTAATTGTTTATAGAGGTAAGTAACATAATCTTTTGAAAAACAACGCTATATTAACATCGATTGTTTTCAAATGTTGGATAATATCATATATGTTCTTTTATTTTTGTTATAAATAATTTGTGGATATATTATTTAAATGAATGAATTTATTAAGAGTAATGCTTGAATTTAACTGGGATTAATATATTTTTGTTTTAAATGTTAAAATTGCAATAGAGATAGATTGAGAGTGAGATAAATATATAAAATTAGTGTGGAGTTTAAATAAATAAATAAATTTAATAAAAATAATGTTGAAATTTAATGTGAATGCGTATAGTAAAATTTTAACAGAAATAACTATTTGACATCCAATAAATTAAATTTTTTTTTCTCAAACTCATTTTCAACAATACATTTAAGTGATAAAATATTTTGCACATAAACTCAAATTCTTTTCTTGATTTTTAACTACACATCCTCTGAAAAATCTATTCAAACATTCATTTAAAAAAAAAACTCATTTTAATGAATTACCTCTTTTATTGCACCTGTTTGGCCCTCATTTATACATTAACGAAAAAAATATATATTATTTCTCTTATTATAAATTAAAGTAATGGAGCCCAAACATGAGCAGTGCATTGAGAGTAGGGGTGTCCAAAAGTTTCGAACCGAACCAGACTGAACTGAACCCGAACCGAATCGAGCGATTCTTCATAAATTAAATACCCGAACGGGTACCCGAATCGAGAACCGATGGGTTTGGGTCGGGTCTCGGGTCTAGACCAAGAACCGAAGAACCGAACAAGAACCGAAACTAAATAATTTTTTTATTTTTTATATTGAATTAATTAAATTATTTTATTTTTTTCCTATACAAATTAGCAAATTAATTGAATAAATTAGATTATTTCATAATTTTAATTTTTAAGCCCAAATCATTTTAAAATCCATTAGC